TTATTGTGTCTTTGATCTCATTTGTATTCTTAACTGTTTACACTCTCAAAGGAATTGTTAGTCATTTATGTGACTTGCGTACATTTTTCTCTATCCTTAATTTTACCATTCTTTCTTGTGTTACCGCCTTCATATCTTGGGTAACATCATGCTTTGGGTTTTAGATTTAGTTTTTGGCATTGGCATGGTAGTGTGTCCAGGAATCTTGAGATTGGTGATGCTGTGATAGCTTATGAAAACCAGTAGCGGATATCAAATTGCTGTCGAGATCAGATAAGAGATGCATTTAAACTTAGTAAACAGGAAGTGCTTTGTGTGTTTACAGGCATCAGCCATTGACAGAAGTAAAGGGCAGTTTGCTTCCTTATCAAGAAGATAAAGTAATTCCTCTTGAAAAACTGACACCTGAAAATGCACTTTTTTGGCGATGTTTGGCCCAGTATCTTCATAGACAAGGGGAAGAAATGGTCGAAGAACTTGATTCAGTAATACCAAATCTAACACCATTCTGCCAATACATTAGAAGGTACTTGTTTTAGTTTATGTGGGATAAATGTGTAAATGGTATTTAGTGTGAAATTATGACTTTGTGTTCATCTGTAAGGTTTTGCCTTATTTTCCAAGCACTTCATAGGGTCGTGTATGTGGTGTGCGTGTGTCTTGAATTTAGCATTCGCCTTTGTTGCTCGTCATGGACACTTAATGTGAGTGGGTATTTTATTCTTACAGTAATGACATAATTACCATGATTGTTCATGGACAGCTTGCCCTTTTACATGAGAAATTCATTTCAGATGCGTCACTTGCGTTCTGTAGCTCGGCGATTCTCGAACTGTATTGAAAACAAATCCGCTGTTCTGTGAATGATTTGCAGGGATTCCATTGATAAATTCATGTGATTGAAGGTGGCTGTCTTTTGGGTTGTAGCGCCATGTAGTCTGGTAGTAGTTTACTATTGTTTCAGAGGTTCTTGCTGCCTCCATCATCAGGGCAACGAGACTACCAGACTACACTGTGCTACAACTCTGAAGACAACCATAGCCATCTTTGAACCTCAAATTTTACATAATGTTTTAATGTTTAAATTCTGTTTTTATACACTAGTGACTTGGTTTGTTTCCTTGTAATAAAAAGTATTGAAATTTAATGATATAAATGATGCAGTTATCATCTTATACATTTCCTTGGATTCATGTTGTAACAGATCTGCACCCTTGTTTGTTGGTTGTGTATCATTGAAGCATCTGATCAAATGCGTTTCTTTAAATTATAACTGAATTTGGTTTATTTTCAGGTATTACCTTTCAGAAGGTCCAAAAAATGATGAAGATTCTTGGTCTCAAATCCAGCGCCAGTTTATAGTACTTCAGTTGCTAGAGTTGTCTGAAGTGTTCGATCTGGCAGATGAAATGGGAAGGCAAGACAATAAATTTCTTATTTTCTCTCTTTCCATTGTTATGTCTTCCTTTTACAGGTGATTTGAAAGTCCCTGTGCTTATACCACTTTTGGTGATAGATGTGTGTCACATAACCGTATGAACTTGGCCACTATCTTCCTTCACACATAACTGTATGAACTTGGCCACTATCTTCCTTCAACCAGTTGTACCATGTTGTAACCATAAGTAAGATGAGAATGAGGAATATCTTTGTGTTCCAGCATGTGTACAAGGACTTTGGAATTGACCTGTATAAAATAGGTTTAATCGGTTGAGGTGTTTTAGAAAAAGTACTGGTGCATGGGCTCCTCAAATACAAAAATGTGTGCCGAGTGTTCTTGTTATTTTGAAGTAAACGGTGTTCGGAAAATGGAGAGAAAGTTGTTTAGAAGGTTTCGACCTTAAGCAATAATAAGCAAAACCTGGAATGCTAGTGTTATAAATGTGATTTTTTGGGAACCTGTATGTATGTATGAAATACACATTTCTACCTTGTAAAGTTTTAATTGTACTTTCAGATCAAATTTGAAGAAACTGATATATGATATGCTGACATGTACCCATGTGAAGAAAGATCTGGTAAAAATACTTGTGCGGGTCCTTGTTGGTGTAGATCCAAATGTCAACTCCAGGCTTCATTTCTTGGCAGAGATTGTATCAGAAGTCCATGAACCTATGACTGAGGTTTCTGTGGACTTGCCTGCTGACGAAATACGAAAGAAACAGTTGATGGTATGGAAGGGGTGTTACACGTTATTGTTAGTAAAAGAGTGTGATATGTCATGAAGGAGAGATTGGAATTGGGCTAGTCGCAGTAACTGTTTTCTTATAACGAATAATTATTCATTTGATTTTATTGCATTTTGCCACTGCAAAAGCCTCAAGTCTTATATGATTGATTTTTTGTTCAGAACTTTATTTTGCACTTATCAGTCGTAATATAATATTAAGTCGAACTTGTTTATGTACAGTGGAATCCCAAGGAACTCTTTATATTTGATTTGAGGATGTTTGGTTAAAGAAGTGTGGGAAACATTGTACTGTACTATAAAATAATATTTTGAAAACTGTGCATTCTTAAAATTAGGTCATATTTACTTCTTTGTGGCTTCATTTGTTGTGAAGTAATTTGAATTTAAAATTACGATGCTTATGCATGAAATGCTCGTTGAAGTTTTGTTCCAGTTTTTTGTTCTCTCTTTCTGATACAGTGTACAGTTCACGACTGTAATCTTGAGACTTGCAGGGTATGCAGGAAGTTGGAAGGGGAAGAGGCATGGCTCAGCAACTACTAACCAAGCAAAAACATTTACTACTTACTCTACCATGGCACAACAATAGCTTAAAGCATACTTAACTAGTGGTCAGTACGTTCTGAACTAATACTGTACTACACAGCTGTTGCCGTCCCTCCCTAGTTTGTCCTTCACCCTGCAAGTCTCAAGATTAGTCTTGAACAGTACTTCCATTGAGAAAACTGTGCTTTGTAATATAGTATCATACCAATATTTTAGAATTGTTTTTTGCAAGATATTTATTTTTGTTAATATATTCAAACAATACTTTTAAAATTCTTTTTAAATACTTTCCAAATTTTTAGCAAGCAAAGGTCCGAGTTCAGTTGAATGAAGTTGTTGAAGAGCAACAAGAAGCAGTTCAACATCAAGACTTCATGCAAGCGCAGGTGCTGTTGGAAAAGATGAAGGAATTACAGGAAGAACTGCAGAGACTGAATGTAGAACCAAGTGTTGTTCATGAACAGGTAATGGCGTTGTTTGTACTTCACATAATTTCATTCGGTTTGGCACCTCCACAGAAAATAGGAAATACCAAGCTCGAAAATATCAAAATATTCGATCTCGGACTTTGGCCGCTTTGCAGGAACCTAGGACAGCGCCACACAAACAACCAGTTGATATTTCCGCTTCACCCACGCAACTCGCACGGCTCGCATTTAATCGCACACATAGGACAGCGGGTAAGGGCTTGCTGGCCAGACTTTAACAAGAGGACCTAACAGTTAATGTTTTGGAGGAGAGTACTGCCTCCATCTTTATGGCACAAGCATAAACCTCTTCAGCCCTGATGATGGAGGCAGTTTGTTCTTACAAAAGTACTACATTTTGCAGCAACCCATATATTCACAACAGCATGAAAACATGAAATCTTGTGTGTGAAATTTGGAATTGAAATATGTCATAAATATACCTGAAAGATGTGTTTATTATGTTTTGGGGGGGGAAATATGTGGATTTGTATCGTAGTTTGTTGTGTTATGTGAACATTTAAAGAAATTTGTGTATAATTTTTGTAGGTACGGGAGCAACACAATGATCGTGCGACATTATCCAAGTGTCTTTGCATTATATATGAAATGATGCAGTCCGAGACGGTGACTGTCCTTACTCCCCACCTGCGAACAATAATGGAAAACTTTGTATTGCATTACATTGAGGTAAGCATGCACTGTGTCGTTTCTTAGTTTTCCTGAGGAATCTTTCTTGGCTACCGATGTTGTGTAGTGTTAGATGGAAGGTTAGTGATGAATAATAATTTCGGAAGGAAGGAGGTCGATTGGTATTATTTAATCGCTCTGTAAATTCAACATTAACTGCTTCAAGCAAAGTGCTCAAAATTCTGAAATCATTTCCCTTTATTTCTCTTAATATTATGAAAACCTGAATTTTTGGTACAACATATTCTGAGACCAGCATCCATAATTATGAGTCAACATATTTTGGTACTAGTTACAAGAATTCATGTTTTAATCATCACTGTCTGCCAGCTCAATCTTAATACAAAACCAGACAACAATTTTCAGGAGTGTGCACGTAGAGGCTTGACATTGAACAATAAAAGCAGGAAGTTGACATCACAAACCAAAATGTTAGATTCCTTTGGATTAATTTACATAGTTTACTGTTTGTTTTAAATATGCTTTCTGTTTTGCAGGACTCTGATACATATATTCGATCACTAGCGCTTCAAACAGTTGGAACATTTTGTTTTTTTGATCAGGACCTGGCAAAGAAATTCATACTTGTGTTCTGTTTTCAGGTAAGGAAATAATTGCAGTTTTGAACAGTGATTCCTAATCAAACATTCATTTTTGGAAGTGCGTCAGTTGAATTAAGCCAACTTCCAAAATTATGCTGATTCTCATTCTCTTTTCCATCATTTAAACTGTTCAGTGAAGTGCTTCTCTCCTATGACTTCTTGCCATTGGTTGAAAGGAAAAATAATGTAATTTTGGTGTTGCCTACTCATATATCCCGTGACACAATTTTTTTGTGTTTATTATACGTATTCAGATAAAATAAATGCCAATATTGGAATATAACTTAAAAATATTTTAAATCTGGATACATCTTTACACCAGAGAATTTATGTTCTATGGAATGTAAGCTGATCATTTTATTATCAGTTTGTTTCTGTAACAATTAAAGACTGAATTACGTACATTCTCAAAGGGTGACTTTCTAGTAATTAGAGCACGTTTGATTTCTAGCTTGCTAATGGTGAAAATGACGAGGTGTGTACGATTAGTCTGAAGGTCATATTTGATCTCTTCTTGCTGTATGGCCTACAACCATTCCAAATTGAAGATGACGTGGATGATGATAATGGTATGTCATGAACTTACAGATGATTTCTGTGTTTAGTGATCATGATAACATGCAACATTAATTTATTTTGCAAGTGACAAATTATGAAATTCAAACAAACGGTATCTCTGACCCTTGCTGTTGATAATCTAGAATTGTCTAATCTTTAATACTCGTGAACTACATATGCTGATGGCATGCTTATATTTTTTGTGATAATAAGTACACGTTAGTTCTGACTTTTCTTACTTTCACAGCAAACAAACGAGAAACCATGAATTACTCAAGGTTCTGAACTACACTTCCAGATACATATCAGTTTTTCTAGTAACATGATAGCATGTTTTAGGGGGTAGGTGCTTGTGAAATAGTTGATATATATATATAATTTTAGTTTTGAAACTTGAAACTCTTGAGTTAATGATAATGGTGAAGTTTTATTATCACTGGAAATCAAATTGCTTTAAAAGGAGTAAGTAATGCCAAGAATATGTTGTTGGTTTTCTCACACTCTCTTTTTATGTTTACTGATGGCAAATATACTTTGTAGTTCTAAAAAATGCACCAAGATGGTCTCTTACAAGTTACACTATAAAATATCCTCCTTTCTCCTCATCCTCTGCCCCCCCCCCCCCCCCCCCTGTTGATAACACATCTTAAACTCCTCACCTGCTAGGATGAGAGTGATTGGGTTGGGATCTGATTTATTCAAACCTCTCACAGCAATGCATAAGTTGAAGATTTCTGTCTTCTGGGTTGTTGCGCTGTGTAGTCTGGTCGATGTTTACCAACGTTTCGGAGGTCATACTGCCTCCGTCATCAGGGCGACTACACAGCGCAACAACCCAGAAGACGGAAATCTTCATACTCACTGCTGTGAAAACCTCAAATCTTACAATGCACAAGTTATTTCTACAATATTTTGTAACATTAAGATTACTGGTGCATATTTTTTGCAGATAAGACTGGCAGGAAAAAGTTGTTTGATGCAACAGACCTTGAGGATGCTGGTGAAGATGATATCACTACATCCAAAAATACAGATTTATTACCAGTGAATGATGCCAGCGACAACTTCATAAGGATACTCACAAGTCTACTTGATAGCACGGTAAGTACTTGTGTGACTTCGTAACTCCATGTTGCAGGATCTTAATTTAGATGTTGGTAGTAACCTGACTGGTCAAGAAATTCATTGCTTATGTGGAATTGAAAGATTTATGACCATGTTTACAAAAGCCTATATTAAACCCGTATTCTGAGCCAGTTTAATCCATTCTGTATCTACACCCTGTATCTCATTAGATCAATTTTAATATTATCCTCCCATCTGCATCCAGATTTTTAAAAATTCTTACTTCCTTTAATGTCTTCTGAGCTGAAGTTCTCAATTCCTGCATGTATGCCGCATTCTCTTCCATGTATTAAATTGAAACTTTCGCACCAACTAAGTATAATGAATTCTCAGCTACCACTCATGTCAGGTGACTGACTTCAGTACACTGAGGATGAGGACAAAGGTGGTTCTCGAAATGTTGGTGTTTTCTCTTCCAGCCACCTGACATGGCTGGTAGCCTGACTAGAATTCATTATATTCTTATCCATTTTCTGTCAGCACAGAAGACGTACAAACTCTCATGTCTGTTGTGTATTAAAAGAAAATGACAAACTCCTGGAGGTTCCATTTACTTTTTGTGACTTATATACTTTATTTTGTTTACCACTTACAGTCAGCTGGTATGCGTACAGTGGCTGTGGAAGGTCTTTGCAAGCTCATTCTAAATAACAGAATCAAGTCACCAAACCTCGTGTCTCGTCTGCTTATCATGTGGTACAACCCTGTTACAGGTAGAACAGTGCTCTTTGCCTTCTATTTTAAATTGCATGTGTTTCAAAAACAATTCAAATTGTGTAAGATTTGAGGTTTTAACAGCGGTGAGTATGAAGATTTCTGTCTTCTGGGTTGTTG